AGGTTAGGTGTGGGTTGAGAGTTGAGATTGGAACAGACATTGACAGGGATGGCTTGGACATAGGAAGGTGGCTGCACAAGGGTCCAGGTTAGAAATAGTCATGAGAAGGGGCAGTTTCATGGCGGCCGTGGCCGTGGGAGACAAGTCCAACTGTGTACTCTGGAGCCGTCCAGTGCAGGAGGCTCGGGGCTGGGAAGGGGGACAGAGGTGGAGCTGGCCCGGGTTTGAGAATCAGGATGAATGAAAATGGGATTGGAGGGGGAATGGAGATAGGATTAGGAATGGGATTGGGACAGGGTTGCAAACGATGATGGGCTGGAGTAGGGTGGGGTGAGAACGGGTCTGGGAATGGCGGTAAAGCCGGTTGGAGAGGGGTGGAGAGTAGGGTGACGGATAGGGTTGAGAATGGGGTGGAGTTGTGGTGGGGATCGGGGTGCGCTCGGGGAAGGGATGGGTGGAGGTGAAAGGGGGGTATGGGAGTAGTCATTGCGTGGGGGATGTGTGGGTGGAGACGAGGACAGGGATGGGTGGTCTTAGGAAGAGACACGCAAGTGGATGTGTTGGTGAACTGGAGGGGGTACTGCTGGGCTGGCCTCACCCCTTCCTTGTCACCCCCACCCCTGTCTGGCAGATCTGGGACGTGGTGGAGAAGGCAGACATCGCCTGCACCCCCGGCAGTGGAAAGGACTATGCTGGCGTCTTCATGGATGCAGGTCTGGTCTTCAAGACCAACAAAAACCTGGAGACCCCCCAGAGGACAGGTGAGGATGTGGCCAGGGGCTGGTTCAAGGAGGGGCAGTGCCTCAGCTTCCCAGAGGCTAAGAGCAGGGCTCTGGAAGGAGGGGACCTAGGTTCAAGTCCTGCCTCCACCCTGACTAGCAAATCACTTTCTCTCTGAGCCTCAGTTTCTCCATCTGTCAAATGGGGCCCTACCTCACTCCTGTGGTGAGGAGTGAACCCAGGACCCAGAGCAGATGCTTTATCCATCTCCTTCTCGGTCCACCTGCCCCTCAGATCTTGAGTGCCCCAAACCAGCTTCTGTCAAATGGGGCCCTACCTCACTCCTGTGGTGAGGAGTGAACCCAGGACCCAGAGCAGACGCTTTATCCATCTCCTTCTCGGTCCACCTGCCCCTCAGATCTTGAGTGCCCCAAACCAGCCGCCCGCCGACGTCGCTCCGTGCAGCTCATGGAGAAGAGGACGGACAAAGGTGGGAGCACTCCCCCTCCTTCCACCCTGAATCTTGCCCAGGGGAAGTCCTTCCTGGGGTCTGCCCTGAGTCCCTCCTGTTTCGAAGCCCCATGGCGGAGGGTCTGACGTGGGCACTGTGCCCCCACAGCGGGTCAGTACTCGGACAAGCAGCTGCGCAGGTGCTGCGAGGACGGCATGAGAGAGAACCCCATGCGGTTCTCATGCCAGCGCAGGGCTCGCTTCATCATCCTGAACGAGGCGTGCGTGAAGGCCTTCCTGGACTGCTGCAACTACATCACCCAGCTGCGGCTGCAGCAAGCCCGCAACAACCCCCTGGGCCTGGCCAGGAGTGAGTCTCAGGTGGGGGTGGGGGGTGAGAAGGGTGGTCCTGTCTGCGGGAGGAGGAGGACCTGGTCTCACAGGAGAGACGGCCCTTTGCCACTTGGGAGGTTCATTCCAGCCTCACCCCAGCCGTCAGAAGTTTGACGCTGCCAATGCCCAGGACACCCACGGTCTGAGGGACAGTTCTAGATGATGGGGCTGGTCATGCTAGTGGCTAATGGGAGATCTAATTTGGGCTCTAAGCTCACCTTCATCAGAGAAAACTAATTTATGCTGGTGTCTAACTCGATGAATTAACAAGAGACATTCGTTCACTCAGTTTTGAATAAGACAAAACATGTACACCCTTGAAAGTTTACATCTCAAGCCAAATAAATCCCAAGCAAAGCAAAGAGAAATCTCTTGTGTAATAAGCCCATTTTAAGCAAATCTGTGATCTCTTTACAAAGAAGAGAGAGTCTGAGCTACTGGGAAAATTAAACAAAATCCCTGATCTCCTGCGATAGGTTTACATCTGCATAGATGTTTTTTCCTAGCATTGTGTAATTTCTTTAGCTAATGGGGGTCAGACAAAGAACGGTTTGAATGTTACTACCCCAGAGGCATTTTAATGGATTATTCGAGAGTACGGTTGGATTTCCGCATCCTTGGAATTCCACCTACTTTGTTGTTATGGAGACCGAGAGCTTAATTAAAATCTCTGGTAGTGTTAGAGGAAAGCCCAGCCAGGGCTGAGTCCGAGTCCAGTCTGATTTTGCTTACTTGCCGATGGTGCCAAGCTGGTCCTCTTCAGCAGACCAGGTCTGGGGATGCTCTCAACTCACTAGTGGCATTCAGGACAGATCCGTCGGGCACAGCAGGCATGGTGCCTAGGGACAGTGATCCTCTTAGAGGCCCGTGTCCATGTTGTCATTTCTTTGAAAATCAGATGGAGGATTGTATTCATCTTTATACCCACATTGTCATAAACTACAAATGTTGTGCTTGGAGCTCATGAAAAATCACACAAGCCTGGGTGTGTTTCGGCTGCTAGGATTCCCTCCGGGGCAGCGATGGCACGTGAGGGGCAGCAGGGGAAGGAGGTCGGTTCTAAAGCAGGTTTAACACCCCCTCAGGTGATCTGGATGAGGAAATAATCCCAGAAGAAGACATAATTTCCCGAAGCCAGTTCCCAGAGAGCTGGCTGTGGACCATAGAAGAATTGAAAGAACCAGAGAAAAATGGGTAAGACTGGGATACCCCCACCTCCCCATTCAACCCACCCCCAGGCCAGCTCTTATCACGCCCCCAGACCAGAATATTTAATTTCCATGCACCTGTAATCTCCTGTCTTTTCTGGAACGGCTGTGGAACCCCACAGCGCAACCTAGGAAAATGACTTGGGTTACCTAATACATGCCTTTACCCTCAGTCCCCTCCCACCCTGTCCTTTGGGGCCCCTCTGCATCAGGTCTTCACCCTCCACCCTGCCAGATGTCTTCTCCTTCGTTTTGGGGTTTTTTTTGGGCAGCTGGCTGGTACAAGGATCAAACTTTTGACCTTGGTGTTATCAGCACCAGGCTCTAACCAACTGAGCTAAGGGGCCAGCCCTAGATGTCTTCTCCTAATGCCCCAACCTCTCCCCCATCCAGAATCTCCACAAAGACCATGAGTGTGTTTTTGAAAGACTCCATTACCACTTGGGAGATTCTGGCTGTGAGCTTGTCAGACAAGAAAGGTAAGAAAAGATGGTGGCCAGGTCCCAGGGAGGCAGGGTCACCAAGGCCCCTCTGCATTTTCTCATCCCATCCAAACCCAACAGATCCTCTGTTTCTTGGTGGTAACTTACCCTCTGGCTCTGGTTACTGGACAGGCATCAAAGGCTAGACTGTGGAGGGCATAGTCTCTAAAATCACTGCTTTTTAAATTTTTTAATTTAATTTTATATATATATATATATATATATATATATATATTTTTTTTTTTTTTTTTTTTTTTTTTTTTTTTTAAAAAAAACAATAAGGGGGTCTTTA